TGTGTTGGTCACAGACCCCATCATCCAAGTAAACTCAATTCCACCACACTGTAGTGTGATGCTTGACAATACATGCTACCAGGCATTGTATCTAAAATCTAACAACAGAGATATAAAACCGAAGGTGAAAGAAAACAGCCAAAAATAAAAGCTGTACTACATAAGCCACTTTTGGATTGTGTTCTCATTGGTGGAAGTTCCCTCTCTTTCAACTGAGCAAAGCAAACGAAGTAAGGTGCCTATGTATTTTAAAAGGGCAAGAGACAGTTGAGCTGACTAGCTTTTAATGATTTACTTCAAGTACTGGGAATGGAAAAAACCCAGCAAACTATTGTTAGCTCAACATCTAATTAATGGAGCCTAGAAATTAACATAGTAAATAACAAATGAATACAGCAATAAAGAGCAAATCCTTTTTCTCTCTGTACCTCATAAAATCAAAAAGGTTAAGGTTGGATGGGACCTTAAAGATCACTGGCACTCGCCAAGGTAAACAGCTCTGGTGTAGGCACATCTGGCAGAGGAGCAGGGATTAAGTTGAGCAGGGAAAATTTCTAGCTAGAGCAACCACATTTGGTGGAGCTAACAGTGATAGCAGCTGATTTAAATATGATCTAGCCACCAATCACCACTCGCCAAGGTGAACGGATCCCTGTCTGTTTCTGACAGTATCTCTGTATTCCTCCCAGGCTACCTTCCCCTGCTTCAAGTTGCTCTTTGTTCATACATGCAAGCCTCCTGCCATTCTTGACTGATCTCCTCTTCGTAGGGAGTAAACAATCCTTGAAGATCATCCTGCTTTCTTGGGCCCCTCTTCCCTCCAGGGCTCCATCCCCTGCAACTCTACCAAGAGACCAGAGTGTGCCCTCCTGAAGTCTAGGATAGTGAGCTTGCTGTGCACCCTTCTATCTGACTGAAGGATCTCAAACTCCACCATTTCATGGTCATGGCAGCCTAGGCTGCCCTTGGGTTTTACATTCCCCACCAGCCCCTCCTCCTGAACAGCAGAGCACCTCACTTTCTTGGCACCTCTATCACTAGGAGAATTTATCATCAATGAATTCCAGGGACCTCCTAACCCAAGAGGTTTATGCCCTACTGTTTTGTCCCTCAAGGAGATATTGGAGTAGTTGAAGTTCCTTGCAAGGACCAGCAGCAAGGCTACTCTTATGTGTCTGTAAAGGGCCTCATCTACTTCTTCTAGGTCAGGACTAGGTCTTCTAGGTCAGGTGGCCTGTAGCAGACTCCTAGTACAAAGTCATCTGCCTCTGGTCTGCCTTTAATCCTGACCTATAAGCTCTCATTCAGCTCCTCATCCATCCCCAGGTGAAGCTCCAAGTGCTCCAGCTGGTCATTGACCTAGAAGGCAACATCATCTCATCTCCCATGTCTGTCCTTCCTAAGGAGCCTGTATCATTCTGTTCCAGTCATAGGAATCATCTCACCATGTTTCCATGATGTCAATAAGGTTGTAGCCCTGCAGCTTTGCATATATCTCTAAAACCTCCCATTTATTACCCATGCTGCACATGTCAGCATAGAGGCATTTAAGTCAGGTCCCCAGTGAAGCCCACTTTCTAGCTGAAATTCCTTGGTGCTGTAATTCAGGTGCTCCCCCACTGACCTGCATTACCCCTCTCCAGGCACCTCTTGCTGACTCTGGTATCTAACTGATGTAAGTTGGATCCCACACCTTATCACCAATAACCTGATAGACCACCCCCACCATCATATCTAGTTTAAAGACCTATAAATAAGCCCCCATAGCCCTTGACCAAAGACCCCTTTCCCCCTTTGAGAGAGGCAAATCCTATCTGAATTCATTGCTCCTGGTGCCATGTAGGCCTTCCCACTACCAAAGAAACAAATTCTGAGAGTGATACCAGCCACAGTGTCATGTATTAATAGACTGGGTCGATCTCTTTCTTTCAATGTCACTACTTGCACCCTAGGAAAATAAGAACTAAAAATAACCTGCGCCTCTAATTTCCTCCCCAGCCGTCCCAGGGCCATAAAGTCTCTTTTGATAGCCTTTGGACTATATGGTGACTTTGTCACCATCCACATGGAGGACCAGCAACAGGTAATACTCTGAAGGCCAAAGCAGGCTAGGAAGTTTCCTGGTGACATCCTTAACCCAGGTCCCAGGGAACCCAACTTCCCTGAGGGGAGGGTCCTTCCAGGATGTTGGACCCTCTGTTCCCCTTAAAAGGGAATTGGCTACCACTACAACCCTTTTCTTCTTTGTGGAACTGGGCTCATTATGAGGTGTAGTACCTTCTGGCATTGCCAGCCCCTCTCTGTTAGAGAAGCACCTTCATCCTCCTTATCCCTTGATTGCCCTACCACATCCAGAGTCCCATATCTATTATACAGAAGCACCTGGGAGGGTGAGGTGGACAAGGAGATTGTTCTGCCTGTCGCGCTGATCAAGAACTTGCCTCCATCCATCCCCTCCTTCTGATGTACAGCATTCAGCCTAGCAGGGGGAGGTTACAGACACCCTTTTGATCTGGGTTTCTTTCTGGTCTCTGCTCCTGTCTCAGAAGTCCAGAGCACTCTTCCACTGCTCTCCTCCTCAGAGTCCCTGATACTTTTCAATCTTTTAACTTCACCTCTTAGCTAACACGCTAGGGTGTTAACTTAGTTACACTGAATAGCAGTCTGCTAGATAGGCAGCAAATTAATTTTTACTGAATGTGTTTACTGACCCTCATTTATTGTATCAGCATAAGTATTGAGTGGTTCATACAAAACTGAAGTGGAAAGATTCTACACTAATTCTGGCATTACAGAACTGGTACACAGCTCCACTGTCTTAACCTCCTTGTTGATAAAGAAGATCCTAAGCTAAGTTATAAGTAGCTCAAGAGCTTTAGACTTTTCAGTCAGACACTGCTAACTCATTAAAGCAGTGGACAATGTGGTAAAAGACCTGCTCATGACACTGTTTTCCCTTCAACTTTGTTTATTGATGTACTGAACATGAAAAAGTACAAAGAATCCAAACACAAAAGAAAACATGTACAATCTCTTAAATACTCAACAGAATATATTATCTATTCCAACAGATGTGAATTAAGTCATACTATACAACTTGAAAAAAGTACCAGCCTTATATTTTTCTAAATGCTCTGATAAACACTGTAAAGTGAAGCCCAATTTACATGCCTTCTCATCAATGCTGTTAGTTGCTACAGTAGTATAGGAAAGAAGCATGTAGCTACTGTTATTCCCACATTGAAAAGTTTGTGGTTTCTGCAGTATATACAACTTTTAATGCAGAGGATTAGCTTTAACAATCTAAATGCACCTAAGAATGAGGAAGTGGTCAGGAAGCCAATTGATTTTTGAATAGCATTGAGTGGGTCAGCATGAAAACTTGCTTACTCACCTTAGCACGCGCTTCACAGTATATGTACTGTACTATACTGAAAATTTTATAACTACAATTTAAAAGAAAAAGAACCAAAACAAACTGCAAAGATAGTGTATCACTGTGTTATGCATAGAACATTGCTTTCTCTAAGGGGAAGCATATGAGCATCTCAGTTAATACAAACAGCAGGACGTAACTACATAGTTGTCAGTGCATCCTGGTGAAGGAATTAAACCCTCAGCTTCTTTTTAAAAAAATTAATTATAAGCTAGATGCTAATCAGAAAATATTCTGTATTTGTTTTCCTTGAATTTCATCAATGTGTTGGTAAAGACTTGCTCTATTTCCCCAAATAGTGACTTAAGCATCATACAAAGTTAAACTTCAAACGCATACAGGTATTTATGGTTTTCATTATGAAAAATGTAAGGAAATTTGTTAAAAACATAGGATTATACTCATTTTTTACCACAAACATATTTATAAACAAAAATGTTGCATCACCATAAAGAGCTGAAGCTAGACTATCTACAGACAAAAATAGCAACAGAACTGATGCACTGTAAATTCATGTCCTCAGGACAAAAAAAAAAGAGTAAGCAGACCTCAAGTAACAATGTTAATGCCATTTACAAAGAAAAAGCTCATATAAAAACATTCAAAACTGAACATCACTTGGCATATAACTTAAAAAATAAACTAGAATCAAAATGTGCTGAAAGGTTCATAACTTAAGGTCTTATTTACATTACACAAAGCTCAGGTGCTATCCTTGAATGTAACTTTCAAAATATCTCCTAACATCCAACTTGGTCAGCTTCTTCTGATTTGCTACTGTGCAAACCATCCTCAGTGTCTTTTCTTGAGACAAAAGAATTCTTCAAACAATAGCAAGTACATCACTAAACACCATGAGCCCTATCTGAAGGGAATTCTTTAGGAAGAACAGATTTTTTTTTTTTCCCCATCTCTCAATACTTTTAAGTTTCCTGCTTCTCTTTTAACTTTTCATTTGTTTCAAAGCCACAAATTAATGTGAACCACCCATCACTTAACAACCAGGATGATCAAAGACTCCACTGGTGATTACCCAAAATGAAACCAACAGTGCATCCCATTGACTCTACTTCTTAACACGAAGTTCTGTATAGTACTACCGCAACATGAATCTTTCTAACTTTTTCCCAACAACTGCAAATTTCCTGGTAAGTTTCAAAAGCTCACTAGGTGTCATACGAAGAGATTTCTCAAAGTATTCAAGTCAAAATATTTGTTCCAGGACCAGTAAAAAGTTTCT